TCCATAGAAAAGAAAATCACAGGTGAATGAGGCGACCATTTGAACAGCAAATTGTCATTATCACTGGCACACCTGATCCATCTTCCTGATAGATAAGTTCACACTGAGGTACTGAAGAATGTTTGGCAGAAGCTGGGCCATTAGTGAGGTAAAGCCTCAGGTAAATCGGTTATAAAATCTACATCCCTTTCAATATCTTGTTTGAATTTTGATAAATCTTTTATTGTTCAACATGAAGCCTATTTAATTTTGTTTGCCTAGGACATGTAGTTACTCAGATATTCACACTTTAATTTGATGCCATTTTTTTTTTTTGGTGGGGGGACACCCTGTATATAATAAGTTTTAATAGATACTTATTAATCTAGTCTGGCACAAGGCCAAAAGAATAAAGGTTCTCAGTGAAAGTGAACTGTGAAATAACTTAAAGTCTATTTTGTTATCCATCGGTCTGCAGCCTTTCAAGTAAAGACCACTAAAAAACAACTTATGCGTTGAATACCATTGGCAATAAATAATATTTGCATAACTTTGGAGATATTTTCATACAGATTTCTTTTTAATTTTTAACTAATGTTCATCCAATACAAGGTTTGAGAGCCACTCAAGGTAGAGGGTTACTGAATGAGGCATGCAATATGTATATCAAAAGAAGTAGAAGGAATTGAAGATTATGAGGATAAGGAAAATGGATAATTGATGCTTGACCTGAAGGGGGTTAAGATGTAACCACTACCTTCTACTCTCACATTCTCTCCAGTCTCTTCTCCTCCTCTTCCTCAGTTACTTGCTCTGTTGAGTAATACCAACTTTATGGGTCATCCAGCTTTCTTTTCCCTCCTCAGTTAATGCTGGTGTTGTCATTTCTATAAAGTTGATTCAGGTTTCCCAAAATCTCACAATATTAAGATTGACAACAAAGTCTTTGTGGACCTCTCTATGTACATTGCGTACCACAGTCATGAAGGAATAATTCTCAACTTATAGTTAACCATGATAACTTTTGTCTCTTTGCATCCAGGAACCCTGTTGGGAATCAGGGCAAGAATAAGAACTCCTTCAATAAATTGCACAATAATGTTTATAACTCTAACAGGTTTATTGAATATAAAAAGAACTGGTGAGTAAAATGTCTATTATTTACTGCAAAATCAAGTTCTCTGCTTGCTGGATGGTGATTTGAGAATTTAGTAGCAAATGCTAATGTAATGATCAGTCATTTGACTCTTACTCAATTTTTCTGTCTGTGCTTTCACTCCAGCCATGGAAATTGCAAATGTGTTCTTTAGCTTACAATATGATCCTAGGCAAGTCCAAGCTGACTTCCTCCTGGGCCAGTCTCTCTTGTTTGCCTCTGTCTTTTGATTTGGTAGGCTCTTGTTTATGTAGATGACACCCCTTCTCCAATTTGACATTTATATATCTAATTTCTCCACCATAACCATCTTAATTTTAGGAGGTCTGTTAATAACTACATGATACTCACTTTGTCTGTAGAATTTTCTGTCCTTTATTTCTGTAAAGATGATGGTGTTTTTGGACAGACAACATCAATATAAACGAAACCCAAGCTTGGAAATTAGATGAAAATAAGATGCTTTCTTTGGTTTTTAAAGAATTTTGATCATTCTTTTCTGTAGGGATATACACAAGCCTGAGAATTTGACAAAAAATAGATGTCTTTCTTTGTCTATAAGAATTTGGGTCACTCTTATCTGTAAGAAGATACGTGTTTTGGATAGATAGTATAAATGTAAACAAACTCCCAAATTTAATTTCTCAGTACCAACAAAATTTTGGACAACACAATAATCATGTCTTATTGGTGGGAAGAGAATAGAATGGGAAATCTTGGTTAGTTAATTCTGTGTTTGGTTCTACTTAAAACTTTTCTTAAATTCATTTGTTTTAAAACATTTTTTCTTTTTTTTCTCAACCCTTCAACCTACTCTCCTGAGAATTTTAATAATTATTATCTAATTAGTAGTCCCTCCAAATCATGATCCTGCAATTTCATGCAATTAAACATTTAAACTGGGTCAGTGCCCTGTTACAAAGAATGTAGTGTTTGATTGTTAAAAATTAAAGGCAAATATGCCATTTATCATCTGTCTATATGTTTTAGACGAGGTATTGTAACTATTTTCACTATTTACATTGTTTGGCCTATTATTCTCATCTTTATAGCCATATTCAGAATGTCTTGGGATAGATTGTTCTAATTCCACATGCCAGGCCTTTGGAGATCTGCTTTATTTTTTTTTTTTTTTTAAGCTAATTCCCTTTGATAACTCAATTCTCCAAGTTTTCTTCCCTCTGCTGTGGTATGGCATGTGGAATTAGAACAATCTATCTCGTGAATTAAATAGTTTAGTTTGAAATTCCAACAAACATCACCTGAAGAAGGCCAGAGCATTCAACGGCCGAAACATGAACATGGCAATAAAAATGAGAAAAATAGCCTAAACAATGTAAATAGTGTAAATATGCCATTTTATCTCGATGAATTCTCAAGATATAATAAAGTTTCAGGCAGTTTGAAATCATAACTCAAGACGTGCATGTAATAAATGAACTTGCAATGATTATTTTCTCTTAGGAATGGTGTTATGTGGTTAAATGAATTGTCAGTTACTAAAGCATGAACTGTCAAGACTACAACATTAAATCTTAAATATTTTACGTGCTTACAAAAAAAGAAAATTCCTGTGCTGAAGAAAAACTTTTTTTTCAAAATTAGTTCAGTATTAAAAATAGATGTTTTTTTTTTCTTCTTACACAGGTTGTACAATATATAATATGTCATACAGTGGGGGGAAATAAATATTCGTACACTTGAAAAATTGTATTTTTATAAATGTAAAAGCCTTAAATAAAACAAATCTCGGCACATTTTATGTATAAAAACACATACTATTAAAAAATAATAAACTTAATTCTTATTCTAACAGAAATTAATGCATTATTTTCATTTTAACTGATGAAAAAAGTATTCGTACAAATCAATTATTAGAATAAAATAATCAATTATGAAAAAAGTATAAGTTTTGTATTTTGTCCCATTCTTCTTGGCATATTGTCTTCAAATTCTTGATATTTGTTGTTGCTCTCTTCCCAGTTTGAATTTTCAAATATCGCCATAAATTCTCGATTGGGTTCAAGTCTGGGGACTGACTTGGCCATTGCAAGACATCAACGTTACTTTCAGCTAACCATTTCCTTGTAGATCTAGCGGTATGCTTAGGATTATCATTATCCAGTTGGAAAACCCAATCAGGAGGTAGCCGAAGTCTCTCAACAGAACACATTAAATTGTCTTGCAGGATTTTTTGGTAGCTTTCAGCATTCATCTTGCCATCTATTATTGATATTCTGCCAACACCTTTTGCAGAAAAACAGCCCCAGATCATGATACTGCCACCACCAAACTTTACAGTTGGCAACGTGTTTTTTGGTAAGAATTAAGTTTATTACTATTTTTTAATAAAATGTATCTTTACACATAAAATGTGTCAAAATTTGTTTTAGTTAAGGCTTTTACATTTATAAAAAATACAATTTTTCATGTGTACGAATATTTATTTCCCCCCACTGTATATATTTATACATAATGGTTAGCAAGCTTGTCTCATTAGATCAATTACAACTGAGTAGGGAGTTCAATCCTGAGTAGGGAGTTCAATCCTCAGTAGGTGCCCCATACTTGCAGCTTTGTGCCATAAGCTACACTTAGTAAATCCCTCTATACGTTATTTTGTCTGTAATATGTGTAAAATTTTACACTGGTGATGCAAGGTGGCAGGGTCTCCATTTTGACTTACACTTTTATCAGCCTATCATTCATCCATTCTTTGAATCTTGCTGTCACATCTGGTCGGGTGCTTCTATGTATCTAGATATTCTTGACAAAATACAAAGAATCTGGTATCTCGGCTTCAGTCATTTTTTCACTGCTGTAACATAGTTTCTCTGTGCCTTTTCTAGAAATATTTTCATGGTAATCATCCTGGGTATGACGATAAACTACATCTGCATCCTGGGTAAGACGATAAACTACGTCCAACAGCAGGGCCTCTGATCAGGAGGTTTTGTGGAGCATGGAACAAACCTCTTAATTGCTGGTGTTCCCAGGTTTGCCCTTATCCGGAGTGGTAGCACCTGTTAGGGTCCCAGCTATGGGACTGTAGTTAACCCCACCAAACAGGGTTCAAAACACTATGAAAGTGTAAAAATAGGTTTTAATACCAGAAATACTTTTGTAAAAAAAATTATTACCAGCAATAAATTTTAAAAACAAAAAAAAAAATAAAAATCTTGTTGGTATTAAATAACCCATTGAGGTTGATATGCCGTAAAACAAAACAAACCAATTTCATGGTAAATGTTCTGATGAGATTATCCTCTTTGGAACCTTGACTATGAATTTAAGCTCAGTACTAGATTGGCAGCTAGGTCTCATCATTTTACAATTTAAATAGCTAGATGTAACAATAAATTCTATGCTAATAGTTTCTTCACTCACATTTTCTTTCTTCCTCTTCTGGCTTTTGGCTACGTTGTCACTTTGCATTTAAATTTTTGAAGACCAATGCCAACTGTCATCTTCTGTCTTCTTAATTCTTGTTATTTTATTGTGCTCACTTCTTAATAATTTTTTTTTTCTCAGATTCTTTCACTCTGCATCTTAGGGGCTTTATTGCCTTGTTTAAAGTGAGATGATTAAAAAAGTGAAAAAATTAGTAAACTGTTCAAAGACATTTACAAAAGCTGAGAGATGAAAAACTGGGAATAATAACACATATTAAAAACTTGTGTGAAAATGTAATAATAATAATGATAATAATAGTAAAGAATTACGAAAATTTCAATTTCGTGTCATTATATTTTTTTTGTATGCCTTTGGTAAAAATGTGAACAGCAATAATATATCAAAATGTGTTTATTATTTTGTAAAACTGAAATAAGCAATTTGAAAAAGGTTCAACAGTATTTCCTAAATATCACACTCGTTGATGGACTAAATTTATGAGTTTTTCAATCATGTTAATCAGTGGCAGATGAAATTCTTGACAGACATTGTTTGGTTTTTCTTCCAGAATGATTCCTTCACTTTTGCTATTTAGAGTTGCTGAAAAAAAAAAATACAAAAAAATGAGTGATTTAATTTTAAAGAAAAAAATTGTGAGGTAAAGAATATATGCATCTAAGTTTGTTTTTTAATATTTTTTTTAAAACCAGCATGTTTCAAATTTTTTTTGTTTTTTACTGTTCAGTGATTAGCTACTTCAATAATGTGTAAGGTTTCTTATGTGAACATTTTATAGTACATGAAATAATGGTGGTGAAAAAGAGTACATGCACAAAATAACTGACCAATTGATTTGTGATGCAGGATAATATTTATTAGACAAATTAACAAAAGGAAAGTTTAAAACAAGAATTTCTTTTGTTAGACGTAAATTGTATACACAACAAAATATTTATCAGCATGTTTGAGTGAGACTTTTTTTGGTGTGTTTTATGGTTCGAAGCATTCACAGCACTTTTAGCCTCAGCATGGAAAGTTCATGACACCAGTTCAAAAGAAGAAAAAAAAAAAAGGAGCGAGAGAGTTGTTTTAGGATTCATGTGTTTTTTATTTGAGAGCTGCTGCTGATAAGTTTAATTTAGAACTGCTGCTGCTACTATTTTTAAGGTCACTACAACTGCGACCCACAGCAAGAACCACATTTTGCATTGCACCCATTATACCTACATGTCATAAATCAAAGACAGGTTCTATTTGCTAGGCTCATTTATTTAGCATCATCAATTTATGTGGATATTTCTACACATATCTATTTGTATGAATATAAAATTTATTACTTTCAGAAAAATTTATGTACCAGTAATCACCTTTGACAGTGAGTTGGGAAATTTACTTTTAGCTTTGACATCAGATGCAAGTGAATTATTTAACAATCTTAACAGCTTTCACTGGCCACAAAGTCGAGTGCACTGCACATCTTCATAGCTAAGTTTTGGCGTGAGGTCTTTTTGTGAGAGAGAACTGACATCATTCAGTCCGCAACAAATTTGACAGAGAAGATACATAAACTCAATGATTTATGACTGCTGTGCAACATTTAGAGTTGTTTATATTCTGCACTTTGCTCTTACTTGTGTTTTTTTTCTATCTTTCTTTCTATTTTGTCACAACCCTTTTTATTTATCTTGTGACCCACGGAAAGGTTGTAACCCACAGTTTGAAAAACCCTGGTCTAAACCATAACCAACAGATAAAATTCCCAACTCCTCCTCTTCAACAAGCCCTTGTGACAAACTCATAAAAAAAAAACCCTGAAAGAAAGATTTCCCAACTTAAAAATTTCCAATATGTTATACCGGAACATACCTATTCTATTGTTAATAGACTCTCCCACATATAATAAGTAGTGAACCTTTTTTAGGACCGAGTGAGTGGAATACAAGCCTCCACTGTGAAAACTACAACACAATAACAAAACAAAATTTAAGCTAAAGATAGAAGACCAATTTTGGCTGAATGCTCAATAGTTCACCATAGTTCCCGGTGTTAAGATAACTATCAATCCAACAAACCTTTACAGCTAAGGCCCACCATGCCATGAACATTGTAGCAAACCACACTCATTTCTTTTGTATTCCATTGATGAGATGCAATTTTCCACAAAACACTACTTTTTGAAACCTACTCCCAAGTGGATACTCCCCAAATAACTATAATCTTAACTTCTTCAAATCTAAGGTCACCTGTTATCTTATCCACATATTCCTATAAACTGTGCCTCTTAAACTAAAAGCCTCAACATTGAATGGCTCTTGAGCCTTGCACATGATGAACATCATTGTAAAAAAAAAACAAAAAAAAACAAGGTTAACCATTTCAGAAATGACGAACCAGAATCATTTCCTTCTCTGAATATACCATGAATTTACTTAAATTATATAAAGTTAAATATTTCCTACATAAGAAAGCTTTCATCTATAAGTTAAGGTTGGTTGGTTGATTCTGTTTATTGGCCTATCAAACTCTATGGGTTATTTAATGCTGAAATGTAAATATTTTGAACGTAATTTTATCGCTTCAACTAAATATATTTTGAATGCAATTGTATACCTTCAACTACAGATAAAATGTATTGTGGATTTTTTTTTTATACTTTTATAATTTTTTGTTTTGGGGGAGTTCACTATTTGACCATAGCTGGGACCCCTAAGAGGTGCTACCACCCCAGGTCAGGGGGCACCTGGGAACAAGAGCAATTAAGAGGTAGTACTATGCTCCTCAAAACATCCAGTCTCCTCGTTGCCAGATGTAGTTTGTCATACCCGGGACTTATAAATTAAGGATGTACATGGTAAATATAAAGAAAATAAAAAAAGGCTAACCTTTTTTGGTTATTTGTCCATTTTTGTCATAAGTTGTCATTTGCTCTTCTTCTAACCCCAACAGTTGACAGAAACTCTGAGAAATTTTGGCTTCAATCAATGCATCCTTTCTACAGTAAAGAACTCCGACAGGAAATTGTTTAACTTTCAGATTAAAGAGGTAGGAGCCAATCTGTAACAAAAATTATTTCCCAGGTTTAGAAACAAGAATCAAAATGGCTTCTGTATTTTTTCTAGAATTGAAAAGAATAAAATCTGATTAAATGTTAATTATTCATAAATTGTTTGTTTAACAGCTTAACTCCCTATGTGTCATTTAACGCTGAAATTTAATTTCCTTCGAAGCTTTGAGATAATAAAAATATGTTATTCTGCTTTCACAACTGAATACATGGTAGATGATACTCAGCTTTTGTTCATATATATGTTTTAGTGTTACTAGAAGTGGTAATGTGTGTTTTATGATGTTGTTTTGTTCAAGTTACATTGTGGAATACAGTTTGATTTCTTTAAGAAATTGTCGGATATTATATAGATTAACATCATGAAAAAGTTCTTTCATGTTTGTTAATTTTGTTTAGTGGCATATCAACCTCTATGGGTTATTTAATGCCAAAATCTAAATATTTTGAACACAATTGCATGCCTTCAACTACAGAAATATATTGTTGGTCATTTTACTATTAATATGTGTTGCCAGTAATTTCCTTATACAAAAATGCGCTTTCACACTTTTATAGTATTTTGTTTGAAGGTTCATTATTTTCCCATAGCTTGGACCCTAACAGGTGCTTCAATCCCAGGTCAGGATGGACCTGGGAACAATGACAGGTAAGAGGTGGTTCCAGACCCCTCAAAACCTCTAATCTCCAGATCAGAGGCCTTACTATTGGGTGTAATCAAAGAATATAGAACACATACACTATATTACATCATCATCCATCCTTAAAGATTCTAACATATATTTAAATACCATGACTGGTGTTAACATAAAAACATTGCCAATTCAACATGCAGAAAACCTCCAAACATAAATAAGGCCAAGTAAACACATGCATAATTATATATATATATATATATATATATATCATGCAAATTTCACATAGACAAATTAGAATTATGATAGATTTACATACCTTAAATTATACACATGGACTTCTGCTTGACAAGTTAAATGCACATAAAGTCTGCTTAACCAATGAAAATCAATCAACACAAAACTAAAAATATCAGAATTTTTTTTTCCACATCATTCTCTGATGAAGCTTTAATAAAATGAAACATTAGATTTATAAACGTTTATTTCTTTTTTTCTTTTTTTTTTAATCATTCCACCCCAAGCAAGGTGGGAATACCACTAGTACAGGGATTACAGAGAGTGAAAGCAAGAGAAAAGACTGGGTACAGGGGGGGGACCAAAGTAAAGACAAATGATGAACTGGGGTTCAAGACAACAGAAGATGGCGATTGATGTTGCATTTAAATTTTTGAAGATTTTAGTTTTCAGGAAAGCAAGTAAGAAAGAGGGAGCTCCACTGTCGGGAAGTGTGAGAAAATAAACTATTGGAGTAGAAGTGGTGGTTACATTTAACTATTTCAACAGTAAAAGGGGTGGGTTGTTACAATCATATTTTGTCAATTAAATGACAAAGAGGAGATACCAGAGAGTAGGTTGCAACAAGTTGGAGACTTGTCACATGTTCCCCTCCCAAATTTATAACACTACCAGACAGTTTTAGCCGAGACAGACTTATGGCAGACAAGGTCATGTTGCACACAACTTTGCACAATTGATTGTCCAATCAAACACCAGTACAATTGTTGCTAGGTCAAGATTCACCCACACAAAAAATTGGGCATATAAAAGCATGGACACTCAAAAATCAAGAAGAGGAAACAATAGAAAGAAGAAAAAGAAAAGTTTGAGATGAAGTCAAGGTAGATGGAAAAACAATATTGTGGACTTGGAAAGAATTGGAGGTAAAAGAAAGGTGCCAAAAATAAGCCAAGCAAATAAATTCAGCACAAGATCCTAAATCTTTGGTAGATATCTATAGGAACAGAACAAAGAATATAAATCCAATTCTGGCAATACTGAAAACCAATCAATTCCATTTAGTTTCTTTTTGTTGATGTTTTTATTGCTTTTGTTAATAAATATCCAACATTGTGTTAATATAAAATCTGCCAAGAAAGGTGAAATGTAAGAACCTGGATGTAAATTTACTGTGGATTATCTAGCAATTAAAACACTTTTATATTTACATACACTTTATCCCTGATATTGAGCACTTTTGCCCATAAATAGAGTATACCTTAAAACTATATTTTTATCATATATATATATATATATATATATATATATATATGATAAGATAAAGAACAAATAAGAAATGTTTATAAATCAATCTAATGAAGGAGGAACAGTGGAGTAATTGATGGCAGCTAGGATTGAGGAATTGGAGAGCTGAGTTAGAATTCCAGTTGAATCCATTACATTCACTTACATGCTAATACCATTGGGAAAGGTATGAATCCACTTCTTCTCCTCCCCCTCCCAGCTATGGGTAAATAGCAAGACAGACCAAGTTCTATAGCTTTGGATGGCAACTGGTCTAGTGCAGAAAGAAATGCCAACCTACTGCAGGAAAAAAATTGAAAGATATATGATCGCCTAAGTGTGTATCATGTATGACACATAACTGACTGATTGAATGTGTTTCACTTTTATTAATGTTTCATCAGAGAATTATATATATATATATATATATATATACACACACACACAGACATACATATATATATATGCAAACAGTAGGGGGAAAGAAACATTCATACACCATGAATTTTTAATTTAACCTAGAGTTTATAAAGAATTTTATAATCCATACAATATTTGTATACCATGACATAATGCTGCAATATGTAAAAAAATTCAGAAAAATGTTATATTAATGAAATTATATGAAATTAAAAATTTGGAGGTGAAAAAATATTCGTACAGAATTATAGTACCTATTTAATACTTTGTAGCCTATCCCTTACTCAATTCAACAGAAATCGGTCTCTTTCTGTAGCTTTTAATCAATAATTTGCAAGTTTGTTGGTATTTTACTCCATTCTTCTTTTCATATTCTCTTTAGATCCAGGATGCTTTTTTGTAGCTCTCTTATTAACTTGAATTTTTAATAACCACCACAAATTCTCTATTGGATTCAAGTCTAAAGACTGTGATGGTCATTCGAGTGTATTGACATTGTTTTTAATAAGCCATTTTTTTGTAGATTAAGCCATATGTTTAGAGTTATTATCTTGTTGCAAAACCCATTTATTTGGGAGTCCAAGCTTTACTACTGACCCAAACAAATTAGAGTCCAAAACATCTTGGTATATTTTTTAATTCATTCTACCATCTATTATCTCTAAATACCTGTACTATGAACAGAAAAACATCCCCAAACCATGATATTGCCACCACCAAATTTCACTGTTGGGACTGTGTTCTGTGGTGCAAAAGCTGTCTTGTCTCTAAACGTGAGTCCTTGAATTACACCCAAATAGTTTAATTTTTGATTCATCTGTCCATAAAGCACTTTCCCAAAATGATTCAGGTTTATTCTTATGCTCACAAACAAATTTTAACCAGGCATGCCTATGTTTCTTCAAGAGTAGAGGAGTTTTTCTTGAAGAAGACGATCTTAGTTGACTCCTATGAAGTTCATTGCTTATTGTTCGCTTTGTAACAATTTCTGATGCTAATTTAATTCTTCCTATATTTCTCTCCAAGTAGTCATTGGATTTTCTTGAATTTTGCGATGAATTCATCTCCTTGATCTGGGAGAAATCTTGTGTGGTGCACCAGATCTTGATTTGTTCTCAAAAGTTTTCATCTTTTTATGTTTAGCGATAATGGAACTAATTGTAGTAAATGTTTATATTCAGGGTATCTACTATTTTCCTATAGCTTTTGCCTTCCTTCCAATGTTTGATAATCAATTCTTTTTGTGAATTTGATAGTTTCTCGCCTTTCCCCATGATGATAATTATTGTGTATGATTTGTGTGCAGCAATATAAGAAACAAATTGCTGAATATTCTAGATTGTTCTGGTAATAGGATAATTGGAAGAATCTAGCAAAATCTTAAAAAGAATTATGTAAATAAAGGTAATTTAAGCCTTTTGATATTAAAGACCTATTTTGTACAAATACTTTTTTTGCCTCAAAATTTTACTAACACAATTTCATTTATAAGAAAGTTTTCTAATTGTTTTTTGCATATTGCAGCATTATGCAATGGTGTAAAAATATTGTATGGATTTTAAGTTTTTTTTAAGCTACAACTATGTTAATTAAAATATTTTGTGATGTACAAATATTTCTTTCCCCCCATTTTATATATATATATATATATATATATGAAAGAATTTTTTAACCTGATTCATTTCTTATTCATATAAACATTAAATTTGATGGGTACACATGTTTGTACAAATATCCATCTTTTTTCTCAAATTAAACAGTGATTTTAATATCCATGAACTTAAGATAGAAATCAAAACTGTATACCCTTTTTAATCAAGCAAAATATGGAAAAAAATTGTTAATTTGACTGAATTTTGTGTTATGGGACACCAAAATTCCCCTGATATAGGTCTTTATCAAAAAAAAGAATGTCAAGTTAAACCTATCATTTATAACATTCAGTTTAACAAAATTAAAAAAAAAAGGCAGTAAAAAACCAACTTTGCAAAAATTGAACATGTGTGAGTTTTGATTAACTTCATAACTTGACAAATGAAGTTGATACAAACTTTGGCCAGTTCTGAAATCCTATCTAATTTTAGGCGAGATATCAGCACAAATAAAATTTTTCCAAAAATACCAAATGTACACTTGCAAGCACACTGTGAAATGAAACTTATAACAGGTAAAAATGCATGAAAAAATATATTTTTTGACAAAAATAAACATTAGCTTGACTGAATCTTAATAAACTTTAGCAATAACTAAAAAATTAGGGATTCATTAGAATAAAAGGAGAAATGTAACAAAACAAAATTATAAAGGATAAACATTTGTGACATTTTTTTACCGATTTTTCTGTTGAAGTTCATTCCTCTAATAATGATAATTTTTACTTACACTGTTGAAATCCATTCCTCTAATAATGATAATTTTTACTTACACTGTTGAAATCCATTCCTCTAATAATGATAATTTTTACTTACACTGTTGAAATCCATTCCTCTAATAATGATAATTTTTACTTACACTGTTGAAATCCATTCCTCTAATAATGATAATTTTTACTTACACTGTTGAAATCCATTCCTCTAATAATGATAATTTTTACTTACACTGTTGAAATCCATTCCTCTAATAATGATAATTTTTACTTACACTGTTGAAATCCATTCCTCTAATAATGATAATTTTTACTTACACTGTTGAAATCCATTCCTCTAATAATGATAATTTTTACTTACACTGTTGAAATCCATTCCTCTAATAATGATAATTTTTACTTACACTGTTGAAATCCATTCCTCTAATAATGATAATTTTTACTTACACTGTTGAAATCCATTCCTCTAATAATGATAATTTTTACTTACACTGTTGAAATCCATTCCTCTAATAATGATAATTTTTACTTACACTGTTGAAATCCATTCCTCTAATCACTTTAAAACTTGTGATTACTTTGTCTGTGGTATGTTTCCCTAAGCCTTTCAAATGTTTCAATAAATAAGCTACAACTTTCAAGTAAGGACGCAGAAATGGTGTCTCCCATGACATTACAAACTGTTCATACATTTTGTAAGGTTCAATTCCCCTGCAAAAAACATAAATCGTTTTAGAAATCAATGTCCATATAAACACCATCATTAAAAAAATGAACACGAAAATAGGATTCATAACACAAGTAGTTTACCATCAAATGATAAAAATCAGTCATATTTCTTTTTATAAAATATTAAATTAAAATTAAAATGACAAAGATATATATATATATATATATATATATATATAAATAAATAAAGGAAAATACAAACTTGTAAGGAATATGTCCAGTTGGACAGATCAGGACAGCTGATTGACATAAATCAGTTTTGGCACAAATACGAAGTAGAGGGATACAGCCTGTACCCTGCCCAAGCATCAGATCAACTCTGCAAAAACAGAATTTGATTTAATAAGGCATCCACAAAGAAATAACGAGATACAAAATTGATATTTCATCCATTTATACTTTAATAAACAATATTCATACTAAGAAGAAAATTGTGACATAATCTTTAAAAGATTTTTTATACCTAAGCAGGAGCAAAAATATTTCTTGTCCAAACCAAAGAAATGTCTTAACAGGAACAAAAATGAAAAAAAAAAAATGAAGTCCTAATATATTTTTCTTTTCAAATATATACATCATAATGTTTCATTATTAACTAACACATTCTTCTTCTATGTGCTGTGTTCCTTTAAGACATAGGCAATCATGGCTCTTCACAGTGTTAAATTTTCCAAGCCTTTCTTCTTCATTATGTGTCCAAGGTATTTCAGTTGTCTTTTTCTGATTCTGTGTATGTGTTCTTTCTGTTGCCTTTTTCTTTAAGACTTCCTTATTGCTTATTTGTTCCGTTCATGGAATTCTCAGCATCCTTCTGTAGAACCACATTTCTGCTGCTTCTAGTTATTTTCCTTATCCTTTAAAAATTTAAATGCAATGTCAATCATTATCTTCTGTTTTCTTAATTCTTATTCTTTTATTGTCCTCTCTCCTTAATAGTAGTTTTTCTCATATTCTCTCACACTCAGTAACCCCTTGTGTCCTAGTGGCTTTATTGCCTTGGGTTGAGATGATTTAAAAAAGAAGTTGTCTGGTCACCTGAAACAAACAACTTCTGCAAAGGGATTCAAACACTTCTTTTATGTGATATGTCCCTTCAGGACTTAGGCGATCATGACTCTCCACATCATCCTATACCTTTTAGTCCTTAGCATTTTTTTCTTTGCTAAAGTTCCTTCATTTCATTCCACCATCCAATCTCACAAGCTCATCGTGTAAGTGGTTCTCTGCATTTCCTTATCTCTTTTGCCATCAGTATGCCCTGTGAGTGTTAATTTTTCCAAGCCCTCCTTCTTCATTATGTGTCCAAGGAATAACAGCTGTCTCTTCCTGATATGGAGTATAAGTGTTCTTACTGCAGTCATTTTCTTTAAGACATCCTTGTTGCTTACTCGCTCCGTCCATGAAATTCTCAGTATCCGTCTGTAGAAACAAATTCCTCCTGCATATAGTTTTTTTTTTTTTTTTACCCATAAGAAATAATAGGATTATTTACATATGGATTGGTACATCAAGCTAAGACCAGAGTCTCTATGTACCAGGGTACTGGACTAACCTGTTTTACCATCATCCCAGAACCATCCCCGAAATATTTTAAACCACCCCAAAATTAAAATGTATTTTTTTTTTTACTTTATCTTTTTATAACAGACACCATTCAGTGTTTATTTTTGGCCTTCAGCTGTTACTTCATAACTTGGTCGCTACTTTCCCTGGATCGTATTGCTTAGAAAGAGGGTTAGGAATGGAGATTTTCAGGAGGCAATTGAGCATTTCAATTTAAGCAGAAAACATCTTACTTATTATAAAACGCAGATTGTGTGTGTGTGTGTGTGTGTGTGTGTGTGTGTGTGTGTGTGTGTGTACGTTTATATATTGGATCGGATTTCCTACATTTTTCAACCGATTTCAACAAAACTTCACAGGACTGCGTAAAATTACCTTGTGGTGGTTCTGACAGTGCCAAAAATTGGAAAAACACAATTGTTTTTGCACGAAATCAATTTGAAAACAATAAAACACGATTCTGTTGGCAGAATGAAAGGGGGACAACTCATATCGAGTTATACTTATTATAAAACCCAGGTTGTTTGTGTGTGTGTGTGTGTGTGTTTGTTTATATATGGGATCGGATTTCCTACATTTTTCAACCGATTTCAACAAAACTTCACTTTTTTTTTTTTTGGCAGGTAGTGTTTCTTATTGTCTTGCACACTTTTTTTCTTTTTTTTACATTCAGAATGCTTTAAAATTCCATTTACAAGACAATTGTTTATAATAAAATTCTATTCAATCGGTAGACTCATAACAATTGAAAACAATGTTTTTGTTTGAGTTTGACCAATTCATAAAAAAAAAAAAACTAATTAAGACATGCGTGTCTGTCAACCTTAAACAATAATCTTTGTCAATTTTATTTTTCAGTCTTTATGATGGTCGATACTTGATCTATCTCTTACTGTTACATCCCCGGGCAACGCTGGGCTCTACTGCTAGTAATACATAAATGTTGTTAGTTAATGGCTCATTATAGATAGATATCTATGTAAAGACACAGTGGAGTAATGGATAGCGCTTCGGATTGAGGAATCAGAAAGCTGAGTTCAAATTCCATTCGAATCCATTACATTCACTTACGTGCTAATACCCTTGGGAAAGGTATGAATCCTCTTCTTCTCTCCCCAGCTATGGGTAAATAGCAGGACAGACCAGGTTCTATAACCTTGGATGGCAACTGGTCTACCACAGAAAGAAATGGCGACCAACCATGGGAAAAAATCTGCCTTGTTAGTCATGTATCGAAAGATACATGATCGCCTAAGCGTGTATCACGCATGACACATAGCTGACTGATCTATGTAAAAATGTCATGTTTGAAACTATGTTCATGTCAGTGATAACTGCAAACAACTAAGAATTTGAAAAAAGGACCACATCAGTAGTACACAGCAATAATGTTTCAAACTTGATATAAATAAAAAGTACAGATAACTCTTTAAGAAGTGAGGGTTCAATTTGACATTGTATTTATATTATGAACAGGACCCCCTTCTAAAATGATAAAAATAATCTATATTTTTCAATTCTGACAAAAGCCATAGGTAGATGACCAAATGTGAAAAAATTATTCCCCAAAGAATTATTCCCTCTTTTTAACAAGTGGGCCAGTTAATTTTAGTAGTACTGAAATATGCCATAAATGTTATGAAATTATATGAAATACTTTGGAATTTTCAGCTCTGCCAAAAAGTCTCCTATAAACTCTGCATATTCATCAGTTGAGTGTAAAAATCCATCCTCATGGCCAAACCCAACAGCATTTGTATGGTTAGAACCTGCAAACATGAAAGAAAATTGATGCAAATAGTTTTCTTGTAACAATGGTGAAAAATAATTTTGATTTTGAACTTACTCTTTAAAAATACAACTGAATCAAAGAAAAACAAATGCTCAGAGGTAAGAAAGAGTTTTACTTTATTTTGGATGTTTTTGTTTATTTATCTTTTTCTTTTCACTGTAAATTTCACCCTATACAAGGCCTGGGGGCCACTCAAGGTAGAGAGTTATGTCAAGAGGTAGTTTATATGGATAGGAGAGGAAGATAACAGTTAACTTAAACAGATTAAGATTGTAGTGATTGGTAAAAACATCCTCTTGGGAGTCTGTTTCACAGAGCAGTGCTTCATAGGAAGAAGCTGTTCCAGTGGAACTTACTTCTCACTAATAGAATACAGAGGGAATAAGGGTGGTTTGCTACAAGTAGCAGGGTGGGTCCTAGACATGAAGGTTAGAACTGGCATGACCAAGGGATGTAGTTTGTCCGTGCACTTTCCAAGGAACTAATGATAAAGCAGGTAAGAGGCTCGCCACATCCTGCCTGTGAGAGTGAGGTTGGATGGTGGAAAAAAATTCTTCTCCAACAAGGCCTCAGAGACTGGAAGGGGAGGGCTGGGCAGCTCCCATCCAAATATGATAAAATATCTACTAAAGATGATGATAAAATGGTGAATATTATCACTGAATCTTCATTTACTTTGAATTTGTTTTTGATTTTATCTCAAAATGATTGATTGTTTTTGTTCATTGGCATACCAGCCTCTATGCATTATTTAATGCCAAAATCTAAATATTTTGTACACAATTTTATTTATTTTATTTTTTTTTAAGATAATGGTTTTAGTGATATAAATCTAACTAATTAACCCATAGCTGAGGGAGAAGAGGTAGATTCATACCTTTCCCAAGGTATGAATCTATTTGCTTTGCCTGTAAGTGAATATAATGAACCCAACTGGAATTGGAACTTGGCTCTCCAATTAACAATTCTGAGCTATTACATCACCTGTACATCCAAGGTTTCAGGATTTGGTATTCCCAAGCAGTCACTCATCTAGTTACTGACCACGTTCAATATTGCTTAACTTCAGTGATCATAAGCGTAAGCCCTCAGCTCAATATGAATTTATTATGACTTTAAAAACGGATGTTTCAAAAGCATATATGAATATCTTAAAACAAAAGCAGTGGAAGATTAAGTATAAACAAAACAAAAAAAAAATTATTACTCACCATAAAGTAGTGAATCAAAAAACATATTTTTAAAAATTGTTTGAAAGGTGGGGGGGGGTCTTAACTGGTTATCATTCCTCACTCTTCAGAGCTCAATCAAGGACAAAACATAAATATAAGCACAACAACTAAAAAAGGAAGAACAAAACATACGACCAGAGAACCATCAGTATAAATCACAGATTACATTAAAACACAGCAACTGTTCCTTCTGCTTTCAGACTTAATATACAGAGTCTCAAGCAATTTCAAAACTCGACTGTGCTCTGCTGACTAGTCTGAAAAAAAGTCTGAAAAAAGATCAGGCACAAGTTACACTATGAATTAGTACATCTTATTATAATAATAATAATAATTTTTTTTTTAATCATTTCACTCCAAGCAAGATGATAATACCACTAAGATGCAAGGAGTTACTGGGTGTGGAAGAGAATGAGTAGACTTTTGGAAGGAGAAAGGACAATAAAAGAACAAGATTCAGAAACTGAATCCTGTTCTTTTACTGTCCAGAAGATGGCAATTGGCATTGCATTCAAATTTTTGAAGATTGTAAGTGGCAAAGAAACAACAGACTAGAAGAGAGTTCCACAGGCAAAAAGTGCAAGAAAAGGAAGCTATTAGAATGGAACATACAGTTGCATCTAGTTCAACAGTAAAAGAGTGAGACCTAGTTGCCAATCTAGTAACATGCTTAAATTATGAAAATATTTGTAGAAAAGACACTCCACGTCAGTGGGAAAATGACCAAAACCAAGATGACATGATCGATTACATTACAGACTTCTTTGAATTTTGCCAAGAATTTTGAGATATTTAGCAGCAAACCAGATATGACAGAAATATTCAATGCACCGACAAACATTAGACTTATAAATGTGCAAGATGGATTTTAGCGAGGAAAATTGTCAAGCACAACACTGTGAACCAACTTTCCTACCAGTAAACCAAGCAAATGATTTGATATAATCACTCCACACCATATCAGTGGAAAGGTACAAAGACTTTCTTTCTTTGAAGTTAGCAACAGCAATGCTGATGGCAGGCAGAAAAGGTCCTCTATGGTTATTAAATGAAAGCAGTTTTGTTTTGGAGGTGTTAAAATTTGCAAGCTATTCCTTGCCCCAGTTAACTACTGATTTTCAAGGGTGGTCACCAGTTTTACTTTTTTGAACATGTCAGATTTGCTACTAAGACAGGAGTAAATAGATGTGTTATCCGCATAAATACTTAGCTGGGAACTGATGACATTGGGAAGTTTGTTGATGAAAGTGAGAAACAAGGTAGGTTCAAGGATATAAAATTCATATGTGAAAGCTTAATAATAAATATAGCATGTATCCCACCCCAGATCATGCCAGAATAGGCTTTGCACTCAATATCTCACCAGACCATCATGATACAGGGTTGAACTGAGATGATTCCCTAGTCAAAAGAGGAGATCCACAATTTGCCTGATATAAAAAGTGACCTTACCAGGTAAACATGTGCAGCTAGATCTGGGATGTGTGTGAGAAAAAGACACATGACTGAGGTAGATATGTAAACACTCAACCCAGTGGTAAGAGGGGCAGCATCTCAGATATTGCAGACATGAATGTAAGGTCAGGGGATACTCACACACACTGATTAAGATTATCTGTTAGGAAAACTTGACCTATTTGGAAAGAATGTTAGAATAATCCAGAACTTATACCAGGGGCTAACCACGTGCAGATAAATTGAATAGCTACACAAAATAGAAAGGAGTGTAAGAAAAGGACGCATCTTCTCTCCAGACTTATTCAACCTCTACAGCAAGGCTATTCTAAGGGTGCTGAAGACCCTATCAGGATTTATTATCAGTGGGCATAATCTTAATAATATAAGATATGCTGTGTTGGTTGACATGGGAATAAAACTACAGGACCTCCTAGACAGGGTAGTAAAAGGAAGCGAAAAACAAAAGACTAATTGTCAACTGCAAGAAGACAGAAAGTATGGTCATAAGCAAGAGAAAAAGCCCCAGATATGAGTTACATCAAGCAAGTACAATGGCCTAAGAAAGGAGAAATAAACTACACCCAATTTCAAAATTTAATTATGTAATCCCAACTCAACATAAATAAATAGTAATTCAAACTAGTATGGAGTAGGTCCTCTATTTGCTAGTTTCAGTGCTTGTATTCGATTTTTCATGGATTTGATCAAATTATCAACAATTGTCTGTTCCATATTTAGCCACTCCTTTAGCAATGTATTTTTAAAGGTTGCCACTGATGTGATTTTGGTTGTATGCTTTCAAAATTTTTAGTCAAGGTGCTCCCAAACATGCTCTATTGGATCCATGTCAGGACTTTGGGTCACCCATCGCAGTGATTTGATTCCTTGTGATTACTTCCAGGCCTTTGCTACTTTGCTTGTATGACATGGTGCTCCATTTTCTTGAAAAAGGTAGACATTCTTATCAATCTGATTGGTTTCAAATAGTGGGAGTAGTCCTTTCTTTAGTATTTTGGACCACTCGTCAACAAGAATCAGCTTAGATTTCCCTCCAAACCAAACAGTGCCCCACACTATTATGCCAATCGCTACATGTTTCATGATTGCCTGCAGATATTCTGTGTTCCAAGTCTCATTCTGATTTCTCCAAACATAAACCTATCTCAAATTTGAATACTGGCAGAATTTACATTCATCTGACCAAATTACAGACTGCCAAAATTCATAAGCAATTCTCTTGCCCCGTCCATACACCTGTCCCTGTTAACCTCTGAAATCAAGGGCTTCTTTCTTGCAACTCTTATTTGATAGCGTAGTTCTTTCAGAGTGTTTCTCACTGCATATCGTGACATTTCCATGCTGTTGGCAACATCTTTCACACTCTGACGGCGGTTTCTGATGACTTCCCTCTTCAGCACCCTTTTCGTTCACTCAGACACAATGCTTGGTCTTACTGAACATTGTTTCACACAACAATGGCCTAAAATGGCATTAAAATTTATTGACAGTATTATTAACCATTTGATGATTAACCTGGAAAAACCTAGCAATTTCTCTATTTGACTTGCCACACTGATGCCATCCTATTATTTGTCCTCATTGAAATTCACCAATTTCCTTACTTCCGTGAACTTTCATTGCAAAATATAAGTCAACTATCAGTCACAGATAAGAGTAACTTGATACTAATATGGTATTGTCTGAAAAAAAAAAAGAAGAGACGTTATTATACAAGCCCAGGGCAGCTAAAAACTTATCATAGCCCACTGTACAGAAGTTTAAATATCTGGGAAGTGTCTTACAGAAAATGCAGCACCGAAATCCAAACACACAAAGTTATATTCCAAAAACTAAGCAAAGTGCTGAGAAACAGATACATTTTGTTATAAACAAAAAAAATGGCACTGGATTGCTATGTGAATACTGGATAATCTCCCCATGGTTGAGGAGAAAACTGGAGGTAACAGAGATATGGTTCTATACTGAGAATTAATTGGATGTAAGTAAGGAAAAGAAATGGAAAAAAAAATGACAATTATACTCAGAATCAAAAACAAACAGCTGAAATTTCTTGAATGCATAATGAGGATTGAGGTAAACAACCCTCACATAGCATATTGAGTGCAAGAGAGATAGAGAAAGGCAATAAACTGACAAGTTTGTGAGATTAAATGGTGGGACAGATGGTGGGATCTTAGAAAAGGGAGAAAAACTGATAAGGGCTATGAGGGATAGAAAGTTATGGAGAGCCATGATTATCCATGTCCTGAAGGGACACAACACATAGAAAAAGATAAATAGAATTGAATAAAATGTAATGTTAAATATGAGAGGATTTTTGAATCGTATGCGGCACAGGTAGTCTTTAATTACCTTGACTGGTTCTCCTCATTGGATCATTATTTTGTAAGACATGACAATATTATGACACTATGGGACCCTAAAGAATTGGATCAGGACATAGAAGTAGATGATAAATGATTTCATCTGAGTCTGAAGTGTGGTTTTATGACCAGCAGTAAAATCTATGAATCTTCAAAGTGGTCACCCAGTGGTTAACCGAAAGGGACTAAAATAGACAAATAAATTAAAACTTTCAGGAACAAGTGACACTTGGCCGGAAGTTAGAAAGTTCTACACAAAGACTTATATAAACAGTTACAGATAGAACTGAAGACAGTTTCATGTTATCTGTCAATATTTCCATGGCAAATGTTCTCAGATGTTACTTTCCTTAGTTTCACTAATTCAGACGTTCACAGCTAAGACTTGCCATGTCACATACACAAGGAGAAATCATCATCCTTCCTTTCGTATTCCATTGGTAAGAAGGAAGTTCCATTCGGACAGCTTCTTGCTGAAACTTGCTACTTTGTGGAACCAACTCACAAGAAGACACTTCCCCAATCACCAAAATCTTAACCTCTTCAAGTCTAGGGTTAACAATTATCTTTCCTACATATCCTCATAATCTACACTTCCTATCTCCCTCCTCTTACATATGACAATAAACTACATCCGGCAGCAAGGCCTCTGATCAGAAGATTGGAGGTTTTGAGGTGTGTGGAACCACTGCTTAATTGCTATTGCCCCCATGTCCACCATGACCGAAGGTGGTAGCACCTGTCAGGGTCCTAGCTATGGGCAAATAGTGAACCTCCCCTACTATGAAAGTATAAAAATACATTTTTTATGGTAAAAATACCAGCAATACATTTTTATATAAAAAAATTACCAATAGTACCTATTTATATTTTATTATATAAGGAGGTACGGTGGAGTATTGGATAGTGGCTAGGATTGAGGAATCAGATTGAGGAAGAGCCGAGTTCGAATTCCAATTGAATCCCTTGCATTCACTTACATGCTAATACCCTTGGGAAATGTATGAATCCTCTCCTTCTTCCCCCAGCTATGGGTAAATAGCAGGACAGACCAGGTTCTGTAGCCTTGGATGGCAACTGGTCTACCGCAGAAAGAAATAGCAACCTACTGCAGGAAAAAAATCTGCCTCGTCAGTCATGTATCGAAAGATGCATGATTGCCTGAGCGCGTATTACGCATGGCACATAACTGACTGACTGACCTATTTATACTAAACTCACCAACAATACTTATTTATAGTAAAATGGCCAATTCATTTTTAGAAAAAAATGATCAGCAATACATTTTATAGTAGAATTACCAGCAATACATCTTATCTGTAGTTGAAGGCATACAATTGTGTTCAAAATATTTAGATTGCAGCATTAAATAACCCATAGAGGTGTTGATATGTCGATAAACAAAATCAACCAACCAACCCACCTCTGACATTCATACAACCTCATTTAGTAACCTTCTACCTTGAGTGGTTCTTGGGCCTGTATTGGGTGAACAATTAGTCAAAAAAATTATATCAATTTCATATATGGCATTCATTTTAAAAAGCATGGGTAAACTAACAGAATACATGTAAAATAGTTACTTACTTGGCAAGTTGATAGCAATAACTCTGTAATTCTTTAGTACTAAAGGCGCTAGTAAAGGAAGTAGACTTTCATGGCTCCCATACATGTCATGGACTGCAAAAACCAGAGGCACATTCGGGTTGAATGGAGAACCGGGATGAGAATCAACATAACCAGTATCAAAGAAAAATCCGTCTATAAAGAAAAAAAAACAACAAAAGAAAAGGTTCAATTACAACAATATAGATAAAAAAAAAATAATATCTAATCTCCAATATAGCCATGAATGGTAGAAAATTTCTATAGCAAAGTAAACAGGCCATGATTAGAATGTGTCCATCTGCCACCGATGCAAATGACTTTGCTATACTTAAACCAAGCATGGAACAGTTCCTCAGTTTACTTGAAGACTAACTGCTGTGAATGCTCTTTACTATAGTGCTGTATTTCTGTCTTCAGACAGAACATAGTAAAACTTTGAGATATGCCTGATCCCAGAGATTCAACCCTGCAGCAATACCTCCCTCATTGCATTAAAGTGGAGGGATCAGTGAAATACCTCTGTCAATATGACAGTGGTCACATAGACTGGGCAACTTTTATGCTTATATCAATTTTTATTTATTTTCATGTATGGGCACTGCATGCTCCTATGAGGAGGTGTGTAAATAATTCACTTGTGGGCTTTCTGAAGTGGCAAGCACACCCACAGTATGATCTGCATTTGTTGCGAATTCAAAACATGAACGTCAAACTTTATTTGCATTTGTTTTATTGCAACCACTGGTGTGTTGACGGCTGTGTGAGAACTATCACTTTGTTAGCAAACCTTCTTTTTTGTTTAATCATTTCCCTCCTCAAGCAAGGTGATAAAGCCCCTAAGACACAAGTGGTTATTGACAGTGAAAGAAATTGAGAAAATGTTAATGAGGAGAAAGGACAATAAAAGAACACATTCAAAATGACAGAAGATGGCAATTGATGTTGAATTTAAATTTTAGAAGATTATAGTTGACAGGAAATCTGATAGCCAGAAGAGAGTTCCACAGTTGAGAAGTGTGAGAAAAGAAACTATTAGAATAGAACTTATGGTTGAATCTATTTTAACACCAAAATGAGGAGACATAGCTGATGATCTGGTCAGTCAGTTAAGTACCTTACATGATACACGCTTGGGCAATCATGTCTCTTTTAATACATAGCTGACTCGGCAAAAGATTTTCCTGCAGTAGGTTGCTGTTTCTTTCTATGGTAAACTGGTTACCAACCAAGGTTATAGGATCCAGTCTGTACTGCTATTTAACCCATAGCTGGGGGAAGAAGAGATAGATTCATACCTTGCCTAAGGATATTTGCACATAAGTCAATATAACAAATCCTACTGGAATTCAAACTCAGCTCTCCAACTACGCTTAAATTCATGCAGTCAAGGTACCCAAGAGGAAAGCGATATTTATTCTGTTTAATACAGAAATGTGGCACAAGGCCGAAAAGGGGATTGGGAAAAGGATTGTCTTCTTCTGTCTTAACTATAACTTAGCTAGCCGCAAGCACTGACCCAAACGTATTTAAACAATATTCCTTACACCAAAACAACACATTCATTCGTACCTTTCTTACTACAACCACCATAATACCTCTTTGTCTCTATGAAAATACTAACTAGTCCCCATATTTACAATTCGTGGTCTGTGGGGGGAGGGGAATAAAACAACAATTCTAAAAATGAACCCCAATGAGTATTTACAATATGCATACAAAAACTATTTACAAGAAACTAAAGAAAATAAGATTAGTAATAAAACCCCCCACAATATCCTAAATGTGACAGAAACATCACTTCACTGGCCGAAATCAATGCGGGACTATAATAGTATAAACCACTCATTCATCCCAATCACTCACACTGTCATGCACTCATTCAGACACAACAACAAATACGAAAAAAAAAAATCACTCACACGAAAAACGAAAAGGCGCCCCGCATCCACCAGCTTAACTGACATCACTGACCCCCTAACGAGGGAGGGGATGGGGAATTAAACTTAAAGAAAAACAAATGGGGACAGAAATAAAAGGGGGCCAATGAGCATACATACCCTAGCTAAGTTAACTGAAAAAGGAAACTAAATCATCAAAAAAGGAAAAAACTAAGCTAGCCTAGTTTCAGGATGGGTTGCACAAGTTCAACCCAGGAAGAGCAATATCCTGATGCCTAACCGCATCAATGTGCCACTCAAAGTCAGCTCCTTTCACCTACACAAGCGCAAAGATTCACCCAGCTTTTGCTGAATTCTGATGAAGTGAGCCGCTGCCTTTCCGTCCCTAATCTTGACTTTAAGCTGATGCTTAAAGTACAGATCAGTTGGGAAGAGGTGAACTTCTCGCCTCCATAGAATCCCTTCTGACGTGTCGTCCAAACCATGACTCTCATAACACCTAGCAAGCAGTGGAACACATACTGTTCAGCCTTCATCAGCGGCGGTGCCACATTGCTACAAATGGAAACGGACTGAAGGACAAAGGACTTTCCCTGCAGCATGCGGACCATGAGGCCTTCAACAAACTTGACCAACGGCACTACCTGGCTGCAATGAAAGAAGGCGTGACCCAAGGTCTCGACCTCCCCACTACAACGTCGGCAGTTTGGAAAATTCTCCAAGCCAGCTGACCAGAGGGCCCTACGTATCACCAGCCAGGTGAGTGATGCCTCATCGTTATTGAGGCATTTCAACCCGGGCGCCCAAGGCCATATTGAGCTGCCTCGTCAAACCGAGCTATAATTTATCAGATCATCATGCACGCCCCCTGACTAAAACTTGATATAATGCCCTACGAGACAACGCCTGGACGTTGGAGAGGCCATCCGACGCCCGTAAGAGGCGCTTCAGAGCAATACGACATTCACGATAGAAGGAGCATTCGGCTCGGGGTAAACAGCGGGCCTCCTCCTCACACGAATGCACACTTCTCAGAGATGGGAAGTTCTTACGGGCGTCTTCCTTTCAGAAGGCGCCCTCCTCATCCGAATCGCGACACATTCGATCCAGAAAACTAATGCGAAGCATATGTTGACGAATCTCAATGCTCGGCATGCCCAGACCGCCTTCAGATGGATGAAGGCAACAGATCTAGCAGCCTTGCCTCCCCACAAGAAGAAGAACAAGAGCCTCACTAACGCCAGTAAAGTGTCACACAGAAGTGGAAGCACACATAGTCGGTAAAGGAGAATCGGGTAGATGTGTGAAATACAAACTTCCGCCCTCCCCTTTAAGGAAAGATTCCTCCGAGACCACAAATTAATTGCGATCTCGCCTTCCTCGCACATCCGACCAATTCATTTCAACTGGAGATCAGGACCGAAAAAGACGACGCGAGAATCTTGACCGCCCATCCGTCCCAGTGGAAAGGTCCGGGAAGAGAAACTCCTTCCACGCACCCAACCGCAAGCCAACAAACTTATCACGGTTGATCTTGGCCCCTGTCACCATCTCATAACAACTGATTTCTTTGCTGACTTCCGTTAATCTCGCTCTGCTCGACACAAGAGCCAAACGTCGTCAGCATAGGCAGAATACCTGGCGATGTGGTAGCACCGGCAGGGCAATTCCATCGTAGGGACCGGATTCGCCTTTTAACTTGTGAAGGAAAGGTTCCAACGCAAGAACGTAAAGCAAAGGCGATAGCGGACAACCCTGACGAATGGAGCGAGACAATACGAAGGCTCGATCGTACCCCATTCACCTCCACCAGCGCACTGGGAGTCGCATACAGAAGTCGGATCCAGGTGCGAAGTACGCCCAAAACCGGCCGCCAAAGAACAGCCTCCAGAAAACGATGGTCAACCCTATCGAAGGCTTTGGACTGATCTAAATTGATCAGCGCGGCTTCACTGTCGACTTGCTCGATGATCAGGCGCCCATATGAAGGTTGTCCTGAATAGTCCTGCCCTTCACAGCACAAGTCTGTTCCGAGCCAATCAGACTAGACAGGACAGCCTGCAAACGGTTAGCCAGGATCTTAGCCAAAATCTTTAACTCTGTGTTTAACATAGTTAAAGGGCTGAAAGTTACCTAACCCATCCCCACCGTTTTTTATTCTTGCGTAACAACCTGATCACGCCCCTGGTGAAGCGTTGGGGTATAGACCCTGCTTCATCCAGTTGCCGAAAATCAGTGCCAGCAGCGGAACAAAAACGGGCGACTGCCTCAAGTACACTTCGTGACGGAAGACCATCAAGTCCCGGAGATTTGTCCAGGCCAACCTGTTTCAACGCATCCCAGATTTCCGACTCTGTAATTGGACCCGCACCTAGCTGCTTCAGCTGCTGCCTCGAGGCAGGGAAAGTCAGCTAAATAGGTGTCGAACTGAGCAGAGCTCAGACCGGGCTCCTGGTGAAAAGCTCCTGAAAGTAGTCCCGAAAAGCCTCACATATGCCCCCTCGTTTGTTGTCACAGTCCGCTTATCCGGCAATGTGGCGCCGCGATATGTCGCTGAGATGCATACCGGGCTTCCTCTGCCGCGCAATTCAGCGGCCATATTTGTAAGCCTCAGAGGACATTCTTTTTAACCTAGCCCTAACTACCAGAGCTTGATCCTTCTTGATAAGCAAGGAGGCCAGCTCTGCCTTAACTAAAGCTATTTCCCCACTATCACGGGATTTCACCGCCCGATCAACTTTCTGCTCTAAAGCCGTTTATGCCGCTAATCTATCTAGATTGAGCCACGACTATAATCAGCAGCAAACGTTCTGATTTTGGATTTTAATTTATCCCACCAGGCATTTCCCACAACCGCTCCCGTCAATTCCCTCTGTATTATTAGTAGAAGCTGGTCCCGAAATCTTGCTCACCAAATAATGATGAGTTTAATTTCCAGTAGCCAGCCATCCTAACCTTAGGCTTATCTAAGTTTACATGGACCCGGACAAGCCTATGATCCGAATAAACTATCTCATGGAAACTTGGACACCCTAAGAGCCCTACATCGACTCTCTAACTAAGACTGGTTCTAGATAACTAGCCGAGCCGCCACTATTTGTCCAAGTCCACACTACCTCCCGAGGGTGTTCATTCCGGTACTTATCGACAAGATCAAACCTGTCGATAAAGTCCCGAAAATGGTTTCACGTCCCGGTTGTTAGTACCCGAATTTGTCCCTATGCGATCTATATCGGGATCAAGGACGGCATTCCAATCACCCACTAAAACGGGTAAATGATGTCGCCAAAACTGCTCGATCCGCCCGAAACAAGGCAGGCATCAGAATGGACATTGGGCGATAAACCCCAATGAGACGCAGAGCCTTATCCTTTATGGTAACGTCCAGCACGCAAAGCCTGCCCGCCGGATCCGCGAAGACAAGAACACACGCAGCCTTCAATGACTTGCTCACCAACCAAGAGACACCCCTCGGCGTCCCATCAAAACATGCTGAATAGAGGGAAACCCCTAGACAGAATGTTCTCATAGTCACGAAAGAAAAAACGGGTCTCTTGTACACAACAGATATTCACCCCAGACGCTGAAGATTGCGAGAGAGCCTGCGCCCTGCGAGACTCGGACCTCAGGCCTCGGGCATTCACACTTGCTAACCAGAGAGCCATGATGGAACCGATTAGGGTTGCTCTCCTGCATTGAACATGGCCGGGTCAGGACACCGACGGCCTCTCCCATTGAGCCTGTACCCATCTCACTAACGATGGTGCCATCAGGAGACAGGCCGCCAATGTCCAAGGGGAACGTTAGCTTTAAAGCTCTATACAGGGAGGGGTGAACGAAAATCGAACCTCCCTGAACAAAATTGTTGTAATTTTTTGACGTTTTTTAAATCGTCAAAACACGACATCGGTGGAAACATGGTAAAGGTTTCATTTGCATTGGCCATCATGGCCCATATTTGCTGACCAGCTACCCCCGATCTCACCACAGTGAGAACCCTTCTTCGTTGGGGAAATTCGGGGTTCTCCACATCTAGATTGTTCAATTTCCGGAAATTTAAAAGAGTTTTTAAATCTTTTAATTTTTTTGCATGTAATGCCTTCTCTTCTGTTTCCTTGGAAATTCGGCACACATCTTCCCCTGTATTGTATAATGGTCTAGATTTTATTTTCTTTTCTGTGGTGGCTTCAGAAGCATCCGAAGATGGACTTCTTTGGCGCTTTTGCTGTTCGTGTTTTGATGGTGAGGTTTTGGGGGTCTTCATGGGAGAATGTTTAGGTGATGTTTTTTTTGCAGGAGATTTTGTCGCAGGTCCCTTCTTTAGTGTGGTCATTGATGAATCTACTTCCCTAATAGGTTTAGTGATAGGGGGAGGGACCATGTAATGATGTTTAGTGACAGGGGAAGATGGTGCCGACAAAGAAGTGCCAGATTTCTTCTCCACGTCCTGTCGTTTGGATTTCAGTTCTTCCTTTAGTTTTATAAGTTTTTCCTTCTTCTCGTAGGATGGTTCGTATTGAATTAACTTTTGTCGGAGTTTATTCGAAGTAGCTGGCGGAGAGTCGCCCTTTGCACTGGTAGAGGGAGGGGGTTGTCTGTGCCTTTTCCTGATTTTGTTCTGGAACGAGGTTCCGCTGCCCGGATCTTCCCTTTAGTCCTACCAACGACCTGCCATTCCCCTCTCCCTTCTCCCAACCGCACTAGCGTCGGGCAAAGGCTCTTCGGGAATGGGGGCTGAGATTTGGACCCAACCGGGATTCTCCACACCAGTCCCGGTCGCTGGCATGCCCACTACAGGCGGACGGATGGAACAGACTCGCCAAAGGGGGATTTGGTTGGACGGGAGCCAGAACATCAGAGGCCTTCATCTCTGTGCAGGAAGAGGAGAGGTGACCAGTCTTTCCACACTTCCAGCATGCGGTTCGACCTGTCACGATTATCGCATCTTCTGGCTCTTTACATCCAGACAGTTGGGGATGGTGCGGAAGGCATCCTGATCGATCATGATCTCAAGCTCCACCCCCGGTCAGATCATCAGAGGAAGCACTGAGTATTTGGCCAAACTGGCCCAGATAAGCAGCCAAGTGCTCGCCCGACAATCTGAGGAGGAACCTCATATACCAATACATTGGTCCCACGCCTGCCTTCATACTCGGTTCTCAGAATCAGGTCTTTGGTGATAAGATCGCGAGTAGCAGCATCTTCACAGTCGGCAGGCGTGGGTAACAGTACGTCCCACATAAAATATCCTTTCCTTTCACAACCCTCTGAGGTTTAATGCCCAGAGAGTATAATGCTTTAATAACAGTGTCTTTAGTGGAACGACAAATCTTGCGCGAACGCTTGTCGACCACAAAGACTGACACAATCTTTTTCAACCTTTCGTAACTCCTCGATTAGGCAAGAGCCCATCTGCTGTCACCAGATGTGCGTAGCTCTTAGCCCTCTCGAGGAACTCCGTAATGTTGATTTTACATTTCGGTGGGGACTTCCAGCATGAGGGCGTCTCTCCGGCCGCTATGTTTCCGTCCTGAGATGTCTGACTGGTTGCTTCTTGGCTACTTTCGGCCACCTTATTCTTGTCCTGTTGATTGTTTGAAATATCAGCATTTTGGCCGCTTTCGGCCACCATAATCTGGTCTGGGACACTTGAAGCAGTGCCACTATTTTGGCCATTTGAGGCCACCATACTTTTTCTGGACTCTTATTATTATTATCACAATTAGAGGACTCCATAGATTTTTCTTCAACTACAGGGCTTTCTTCTAAATTTTTATCAGGAGGGCCTTTTTTCTTTTTTTTGGAACCAAACAGGTTCTTTTTCACAGTTCTCCTGGGAGCTATTTTTAAAAAAAACAAGACTTTTTCTTTTTTTTTTTTTTCCTTCACATAAAAAACAACAAATAAAAGTATAAATTAAACGAAAGATAAATAAATCACAATAACAAAAAGAATTTTAAGACAGAATAATAAACAGTTAAACACGCAAAAATAAGTAACAGAAACACGTACGCTAAAATGACAAAAATACGTTCAAAATAAAAACAGCTAACAATTACAAATTACAAAAAAAACGAGTACAAAAATGAAAATCACATTTTAAAACGGAAAATAAACAAAAGGTATCTTTTCAACAAAAAATACGAAACAAAAAATGCCAAACGACTTCACAAATACAATATGGCTGCCACTAGAAAAAACTAGTCAGCCCAAACACGAACAAAAAATACGAAACTAAAATAAAGAAGAACTAACGAATAGAAAATAAATGCGTAAATAAATGCAAAAATTTACAATAAACACAGAAAAGACTTAAATAAAGGAATACAGAATAAATAACAGTTATTTACAACAACAAAGAAACACTGAAAACACATAGAAATAAAAATGTAAACAAAGAAAAAACGAAGTCTTACGAGGGGCAAAATAAACAATGAAAAAATAAAGTTTGGTGTGGGGAAGTTACTGAAAATGAAAAAAATTAAAACTCAAAAATACATATTAAAAAAAAGGAAATTAATAATAAAGAAAACAACAAGGGATAAAGTATAAGAAAATAGAGGGGAGGGAAAAGAAAGAAAAAATCAAATCAAACTTTTGGCAAAAAAAAGTCAATAAACTGAACGTAAAATAAAAATGAACTTAACGTGAACAAAGGGTTGAAATCAAAAACAGTTCGTAATAACTCGCAAATACGTCTGGCGTCAAACACCGGTCGTATACCGTCGGAAAAAGAACTCTCCCCAAAGAGGTACCAGAGAGGAAAGCTCATCAGAACAATTGCCATGAAAATATTTATAGAAATGGCACAGGGACTTTATATTGCAGTGGGAGAAAAGCAACTGAAGTTGAGATACTAGGTCAGGACCAATAACAGCAGATTCTTTGGATTTTGTCAATAATCTATATATATATATATATATATATATATATAGCAAGAGAACCAGACCAAATGCTGTGGCAATAATCAATGCCCAGATGAATGGCAGACTTATAAATATTCAAGGTGGATTCTAGTGAGAAAAATTTGTAATGAAGAATGCTGTGAATTACCTCGTCAAACTGAGCGACAATGTGTTGTGTGCATCCTACAATGGAAAATGTTGCAAAAAGAAAGTTACTTGCCGAAAAAGGAGCATGTATTCTGCATGATATGCTGAAGACACAATATTTAAATTAGAAACAAGTCAGTCACAGGAGTTGCCATAAAAGTATTTTGGATATGCTGATAGTGTGAGTCCTCTGCCAGTTGTCAATGAATGAAAAAATGCTCGGTTGATAAAAGCAGTTGTTCTCGAATTTGGGATAAAAGTCATGTTTCTGTTCCTAATTCTTCCACACTCTGTAGCCCCTTATGTTTTAGTGCCTTTACTGTCTTGCATGGGATGGTACTGATTTAAAAAAAAAGATATATATATATATATATATATATATATATATATATATTTAAAGAAAAACAGACCACTTTAAGGTTCCATTATAATAATTTATTTCACCAGAGCCCTTTTAAGGGATGCTGGATCATCAGATAACACTTCCAAAAATTATTAGCTCTGTTTGGATTTTATTAAAATTCTAATCATCGTTGAAGGAGTCAAATGTGTATACAGTAATAGTAGTGTCACAAGAATAACTGTCCTTTTGGCAGTTTTTTTTTGGGGGGGGGGGCCTGCACAATGGTTAACATTGCCAAGTTATCTATACTTTGTTTTTATTTGCAAGTGTCAAAATTAAAATTATGCTTATAATAATGATTTACTGATACAGATCATAAAAAATGAATTTATAACTTGAGTGAAAACAGGTGGATTCATACTTTTCCCAAGAGTATTCATGTGTAAGTTTGTGTGTAAATATAATGAACCCAGTTGGAATTGGAACTCAGCTCTCGAATTTCCAATTCCTGGCTATTGTGCATTACACTTACCTGCACATCCAAACTTACAGCACCTGGTATTCCCAAGTGGTCACCCATCTAGGTACTGACCAGAATCAGTGTTGCTTAACTTCAATGATCATCCAGAAACCTGTGTTTCAATATGATATGGCCATAAGTCAGTGAAAGAATTCAAGATCCACTCAAATTCTGACATCTTTCTCTTTTTTTCTATTAAGTTTCTTGCCTTAGAGTTTGTTTCACAATTATTAGGTAAGAATATGTTTTTATATTATTATTTTTTATTATTATTATATATACTAGCCGTGCATACAAGCTTGCAGCACCTAGTATTCCAAAGCAGTCACCCATCCAGGTTCAAACTTGCTTAACTTTTGTGATCATACAAGAACTGCTGTTTCAACATAACATGACTGTAAGCCTTACACAAGTTGATATGAAAGGTTTGGTTTGGTGTGTTTTGATATTACAGCATGTCAACCTCAATGGGTCATTTAATGCCAACAAGATTTTTATTGCTGGTAAAAAAAAATTTTCGGAAATGTACTGCTGGTAATTTTTTTTTTTAAATGTATAGCTGACTTTTTTATTTTTTCAAAAATTTATTGTTGGTAATAATTTTTTACAACATATTTCTGGTATTAAAACCTATTCTTACACTTTCATGGTGTTTTGACCCCAGTTTGGGGGTAACTATATTCCCATAGCTGGGACCCTAACAGATGCTACCACCCCGGGTCAAGGTGGACCTAGGAACACCAGCAATTAAGAGGTGGTTCCACGCTTCTCAAAACCGCCTGATCAGAGACCTTGCTGTTGGATTTAGTTTATTGTCTTACCCAGAACATTGACATAGTTTATTGTAATACCCAGGACAATGATATGAAAGTAATATCAATAAGAAATAAAATGTTAATAGCAAAAAAAAACAAAATAAACACTGTTACTATTGGAGCTATTTCAATAAGACTTCTTGAGAGCATGGATTTACTATAGTAAAACTGGCGTCATCCTTTGACCTCAGATCACTGGAAACTTTGACAGATGTTTAAAAGATATTCTTTGATAAAAGAAACAATAAATCTAGTCTGGATATGTGAATGCATTCCATATGGACAATGAAGCACAGTTTTTAAGATTCCCATAAACTTCAAGTCTCTTTGTGATGAATGCGGTTGCAAATTGTGTTGAGAAGAGGTTGAAGACTTTTAAAGTAAATTTATGTCATGTACAGGAACAGACCCCCCACCCCATGCTTCTAAAATGAGAAGTCCATATTTTTTTTATTCTGAGAAATGTTGTGAGTAATCCACAAAAATTGTTGAAAGTTGTTGCTTATTTTCAATGAGCATGCCAGTCAATAAAGTTCCTTTTCTCCTTAAGACTTCCTCTTTTCCTCACATACTTTATCCATGATGTTCTCAATGTTTGTCTATACGACCATGTTTATGCCTCTTTATGTCTTTTCTTCCTTTGTCATAAAAATGTAGTAAACATGAAGAATTAGTGCATATTTTCCACTGACCTGAAGTGGAAGGATTTTATCAAATTAATGGCTGGGTCTGCTATTAGAAAAGTTGTTGTCTCAGATAATTTTTCTTGTCAGAATCCGTCTTGCACATTTATAAATGTACTATTCGTCCCAACATTGAATTTTGCTGCCACATCTCATCTGGTGCTTTTGCTTCTCGAGATTCTTGACAAAATCTAAAGGATCTGCTATGTTATTGATCCTGACCTGACACCTCAGATTAAGTCACTTCCTCACCACCACCACCACCATAATATATCTTGCCTGTTCCATTTCTATAAATATACTTATGACAATTGTTCTGATATGGTTTCCTCTTTGGTACCTTGACTGCATGAATTTAAGCATAGCATTTTACTGCTGAACTAGTGAGATGTAACCATATTCTAATGATTTCTTCTCTCATACTTCTCAACAGTAGAACTCTATTCAAAATTTTTTCAAAAAATTTTTATACACATATTTTTACATAAAGTACAACATACTTCACAAAAAGAGAAATGGAAATTATATTTATGTGCATACTGATAGCTCCAAAGAGAGAAAATTATATATACATATATACTGATAGCCTTGGCCACCAAAATAAACATTTTTGGATTAGCAGTTCTGTGCATAAATGCAGCACGTTTTGGTGAATCAATTTACCCGGGGAGTGTCTCCTCAGAGGGGAAGAGTCCTGTGTTGTCACCACTATATCCCATCAGCAGACAAAGTGAGGTAAGCGCATAAATTAAAACCTGAAACTGCTTCTGACACACATGTACACCCATGATATAATTTTTTATTTTAAAGCTACAGCAATGCAGTAAACTCAGTTTGTGTTTTGCAATACCAAAGAAAAAAAAACAAGCTTATTGTACTGTAATGTAGAATTGAATTATTGCTACTGGTATCATGTAACCCAGTATTACCTGCCGCATGCACGGCTCAGCAGTGACTAAACCAGTTCACCCACCAGAACTTTCTAGTGAGGACATCCACTAGGATTAAAAATGAGATTAGGAAAAAAGCAGATAATCCTTCTTGTAGAGATCAACAATCATCTAGCACAATGGAGCTCTATAGCTATGGATGCAACCAGTACAGTGATGACACAGTATCTCTAGACAGAAGACAGAAGGGGACTTCAAAGACTGAAGTCAATAACCAGGGTGGAAGGTTCCTCTGATGGGATCAGCAACCAATTGTCCATGACCAAGACTAGCCTTCAAGTTAGAGGATTTCAGCTGCGACTTGACCTGGAGAAGGTTGAATTACACCAGGTCTACTTGACCAAAACATTTTTATGCATGAATGAATACCTCTCCAGCTTTCAATCCAGATATGTGGAGAGAACTTGTCAGGTACACAGCTATGCAGCAACCCTACAACTACACTTGATTATGTAACTGATGATGATGATGATTGAACAATGACTCAGATTCCAATGTGTTTTTTATTATTATAACATTAAAGGTTATATTTTTTCCATAATTTTTGTAACATTTCACCTATGCTTTTATTATCTCCCCAAAACAGTGTTTCTCAACCGGTGCGCCCAGACACACTAATGCATCCTGAACAGTAGCCAGGTGCACCCCAAGTTCAAAGAAGAGTAATTTATGAATTATTTTTATATTTAAAAGAAATCTTTATTTTTAAAAAGCTAGAGGCACCAAGCACATGGCTTCCCTGTTAAAGTCAAGTCTTTGTCATTTGATATTTTAAACTTTTTAAGCTAAATTCCGTAATCTTTAAGGAGTGGATAATCCATTTCCTTTTGCCTTCCTCATGAGATTTAAATCTGTCAACATCAGCCTCTCTAAAAATAAATAGCAGATTCTTTATAAATCCCTTTAAATGAAAACAGTACTGCTAATGTTTTTTGGGGATGCTAAACCAAAATTTCTGATTTACTTATTGAAATTTAAAGTGCACGTCAGAGTGTTAGTTATTCTACAAGTGTGCTCTGAAGTAAGAAAAGGTTGAGAAACACTGATCTAACAAAAAAAAAAATTAAATAATTAAAAAAAAATTTTTTTTTAAATGAATTACTTAAATAGACTGGTCCTTCTTATATGCCATGTTCCTTCAGGACATTGGCGATGATGGCTCAGCACAATTTTCTGTCCTTTGTAGCTCTTAGTAAATTTATCTTTTTGTTATCTCTCCTAAACCTTGTTCTGCAATCCATTTACTCAAGCTCTCCAGGTAGGTTATGCATTGTTTTCCTGTCCCTCTTGCCTTCAATCTGTCCTGTGTATCAAATTTTCCAACCATTTGTCCATGCATTGAATATTGTTACTATATCTGGTCTGATGCTCCTGCTGTACATCTCAAGATTCTTGACAAAAATCACAAAAGAAGGATCTGTAATGTTATTGATCCTGACCAGGCATCTCTTCTTCAGTCACTTTCTCACCAATGTCATGTGGCTTCCCTCTGTCATTTCTACAAATATTTTCATCACAGCTTTTTTCCTGGTTACCTGAATACATGAATTTAGGCACACTAAAAGTAAGGAAACTAGATCCCACTATTTTACTGTTAAAATAGCTAAATGCAATTGCCACTTCTACTCCAAGTTTTTTTCGTTTTTTTTTTTCTCATATTTCCCACATGTGCAACTACATCATTTCCTTACTTCCCTGATAACTACAAGCTTCAAAAATTTAAATGCAACATCAATCACCAACTTCTATCTTCTTGAACCTTGTTCATTTTTTGTCCTTTCTTCAATCCTCCCTATTCTCAGTCTTCTCTTTCACTTTCACTCCCTGTACTAGTAGCATTACTGCCTTGCTTGGGAGGAAATGATTAAAAAAAAAAAAAAATCAAGGCTTCTTTCCTCATTATGTGCCCTAGAAATTTAAAATGTTTCTTTCCCGATAAGTGTCCTTTTTGCTTGGATATAACTTTTGTAGTAAAGCATTCATTAGACCTTTCTAAGGTTGCAACATTAAATTAAATAAAATTGAGTACAACGCAAATCCACCAAATTTATGAGGTGCCAAAAATACAAAAACAGTGTTTGGAACATGCATAAGAGTTTAATAAATTTAATTTTATGTATAAAAATAAAGCAAAATTAATCTTAATATCTATCTATATTTCTGAGATAAGATGTAACTATTTACACTATTTACATCATTCAGACTATTTTCCTCGTCTGTATTGCCATATTCACAATGTTTCAGCTGTTATACGCTCCAGCCTTCTTCAGGTGATATATGTTGTAATTTCAAACTGAACATGGCCCAATGGATAAAAGTGTTGGTTGAAGTAATCCAAAAAGCAACTAACCCAAAGAGTTGCAAGTTGAATATCAGCAGAGGGAACAAAAACAGTTACCAATAAAAAGGAATTAACTGAAATTGAGATATCCAAAAAAGGCATTGCATGTGGAATTAAAACAATCTATCCCCACACCCCACACACATGGATTAAATAAAGGATTCAGTTCAAAATTCCAAGATATACCACCTGAGGCAGCTGAAACGTTGTGAATATGGCAATAAAGATGAGGACAACAGTCTGAACTATGTAAACAATGTAAACAATTAATCTTGCAGACATTTTCTAATGATAACCAAGAAAAACATAAATGACATCACCATTCAAGATTCAAATATAAATGGACAAATAATGTTGCTTTTTTTTAAAATCAAAACAAAATATGATTTAAGGCCTTTATTTATTGCAGTCTTAATTGAAGACTCACTTTCCAACCTTGACATTTTAAAGATGTACACATGACCTTGTGAGATATTCACTAACTGCCCCATGTGGCTGGATGCGGCACAAGGCCAAGTTTATTGTGGGGTATCCGAACCCGTAGGCTCAGGCAAAAATTCCCCGTAGACCTCATAAAAACAGGGTTAGGTAGCTGTCTACCACCCTGGATGAGACTCTGCCCTTCTGGGTCCCTCTCTGCCTGGAGGCAGAGAGTTTGACAAGCACATTTCTGAAGTAATTCTTGTAAGTGATGATCAACTCTACAACCCCTTTTTGCAAACAAAACATCACAAGCCTCTTGCTATTCTATCACTATTTTTCATAAAAGATGTTCAAGCAAATTACATTCCTTAGTTCCACCAGCCTAAGCATTCACAGTTAGGACCTGCTAAGCCAAATATACTGAATCAACTTATCTTCATTCACTTCGTTTTCCATTGGTAAGGATGAAGTTCCACATAGAAAGTGCCTTACCCAGATCTGTTGCATTGTGGGACAAATTTCAGAAAGGATGCTTCCTTGATCACTACAATCTTTACCTCAGGCACCATGATGTGGTGTAATAGCAAGCTTGTCTCACAGGCACAATTATGACTGAGTAGCAAGTTCGAGCCTCATTCGGTGCCCCATACTTTCGGCCTTGTGTCACACCTAAGCTACGCTTTGAAAATCACCACTACAATCTTCTTAACCTCGTCAAGTCTATGGTTCGTTAACAATTATCTTTCCTATCTTCATACACTTAGTAATCCTCTCAAGTTCATAAAACAGCCTCTCTAGTCATTACTTTCATTTTTTAAGGAGATTCACACGTGTTGTTTGACGACTTCATGGCCATTGGTAAAAAAATACTTAGATAATTAATTAAAAAAAGCCCTTTCTTTTTCCTTTTTTTTTAATTATAGTAACGAATATCCAGTAAGTGATACGTTTAGAAGCGATGAAAATCATGACTGTGTCATACGATATAAACTGAGTACAGTGTACACACACAGTGACAATGACCCAAATTGCGTTGACTAGGACGAAATGACCTAGTAACCTAGTTGTCGATATAAATTTGGTAATTTTTCATGAATGTTCAATGAAGTGAATATAATTGTCGTAGATAGTCATTTATTTCCATTGGACATTAATTAAAATTAAAGAAAAAAATAATTAGACAAAAATCGAATAAGGTGAGATTTTTTTTTCTTAGAAATGCTTTTTGCGGGTCGCAATTTGCCAACCAGTGCTGGGTGAACAATTAGTTAACTTAAAAAACTTGGGCTGGGTGAACAATTAGTTAACTTAAAAAATAAAATAAAAAAGTAACTTAAGAATTGTCTGACGCTATTTTGCATCCCCCAACAGCCAACATTTAAAACACGATTTTAGTTAATTAATTCTATTAATTCAAAAAGACTGTCAATTTTAGCATGGTTCAAGTTTTAGTAGTACACAAAAACAATATATTCTTGGTTGCGCAGAGAAACAATTACGTTGGTTGGTTCAACTTCAAGTACGATTTCGGAACAATAATTGATTTATTGACAACGTAAAAATAGTTTATGACAAACTTTATGCGGGATCAGAGATTCAAAAACTCAGTTTTTTCGTTGGCATCAAGCCGCCACGAATTTATGTCCCATTTTAATAAATTACGACAGCTAGGGAGATGTCATTAAATAATACTTTAAAAAATGTATAAAAAAAAATTATTCAGTATTATTATTGTTTAAGTAATAATCATACATTCATTAATTACTAATTTTTTTAATTATTTATTTAATAACTATTTGTGCTCAGTTGTTGACATTAAATAGCTATATCTGCTGATGTGTTAAAAATTTTGGAATGTAATTTGTAATAGTAATAAAAAATTTAAATTTCATCTCTGATAGATGCTGCGATCTGTGTAAAGTGTACTGTAAACTAAACAGAAAAAACAGTTACTTTTTAAAAGAAATCAATCAACGTCTACTAAAAAAAAGTCTTTAGACGTTGATTTCTCGATTACATACATGTAAAAAATGCGTAAAGTTGTGTTTTTGTCGTTGAGAAATCTAAAGTTGAGTCGATTGTCGATTTGTTAGTTAACTAAATAAAATTCTTATAAAAAAAGTTTTAGTAAAAAAAAAAAAAACTAAAAGAAAACTGGTGTAGTACACATAGGATTGTATTTGTGACTAAAATTAAACATGCCAGACGAAACAAATATTCTTCTAATTTATATAGATCTATTTTAAGACTTGAGGAAATGAACAATATTTGATAAGTAAATTGTTAAATAAATGCTTTCAAGTTAGAAAACAGGAGGTCTTTTTACGTCTTCTCAATACGACCAATTAACTTAAAATACAGAGCAGATTTTTTTCACGTGTCACCGCTTGGCCACATGATGTATGGCAAAAAGCTTGATGTTGCTAAAGCTTTTAAAAATAAATTTGACATTAAATTTACTATGTTGTTATAACTTTAAAACATTTGTATTTTTTCAAAAATTTTTTTCTTAAAATGTAGTTTGTTTTGCATTGTTCATTTATGATATTTTTTTAAAATAATTTCCTCCCAAGCAAGACGATAAAAGCCACTCTGACTCTTCTTGCTATTAAATTATTGTTAATAAATAAATTAACTACTAAATTCAAAATATCGATTTTTTTCTAAATGGATTTTTTTTCACTGGTTGTCTATTTTTATTTTTCTATTAGGTTTCGTCTTTCCTTCACAGACATTTTGGGTAAAAAACAACATGCAGTTTGTGGCATTAGTTCTTAATTTAATTATATATTGCAAGTAAATTAATGCCATATTTTAATTTTAAGAAAGGAACGTAAATTACACAAGAAAAAACATTTCCATATAAAATGCAATACAAAATTGAACCTTTTTTTTTTACCAAAAAAATGGAATTTTGAAGGACAATAACAGTAACACGCTAGTTGTAATGGGGGATTCTCTTCCTACAATTTTCTTTACTTTACCTACCGGGTATGTCTTCCCATCGTTGTTGACACGTGTTGACATATATATATCTCATAGGTAGAGCAGAAAGCATCCAATCTTTAGGATTGTTTTCTAATGAAACATCCGTTTGTCTCAAGAGTTTAGGCTGCTTGGAAAATGTCCTTGTAAATTTGGAACCAAATAAAAACACATCTTGCTGCTTGCTACCAACTACTTGTTGACACTTGGGTAGCACACGAAATAAGCTGGATGTGATTCTGATCATTAGAGACATGAATGAAAAGTAAATCCATAAAAAAAAGGAAACAATATACCGCAAACAATTGCAGTCTTATCCACCGGTGTTTGTTTTAAAACTCAACTGAATGGTCGCTTAGGTCAAGGACAATTTTTTTAGGTACATGTTTTCTTTTTTTTTTTTTAAGTAAAATAATAATTGGAACAAAAAAATGTACGTTATAAGATTTTTGTTAGAGTTGTACAATATAGGAACTGTGACCAGAAATAGATTCTTTTCTTCTTTTTTTTTCCTACATATTAATTACCATTTTTATGCCATAGAAAGATTACCTCTACAAAATCATGAATAAAAAAAATATTAAATTTTAATAACAGTTAAAGCTTGCCAATACTTGTAGAGACCTCTGCTCCGAGAAAGGGAGGAACCCAGACGAAGTCATGCCAAAACTCGACCCTGTACGAGATCTACAGAATTTTTGCCCGAGTCTACGGGCTCGTAAAAAAACAAAACAACAACAACACAAATGGCCTTGTGAACATCCCGCCTTGTGGAGATGTAACGGGTAAACCGTTAACGGATGGGAAATCCTCTTTGCTAAGTAAATTCATTAAGTAGTAAAAAAAAATAATAAATCTATCTCTCTAAGCCAAAACAAAATGTACATTTCATACCATGTGATTTCTTAAACATTTTTTTCTGGAGTGCGTTAAAAACAATAGTATGAAGAAAGAACTCCAGGTTACGATAAAATTAATTAATATCAGTGTTTAAAATTTTTCTTTTTATATTTTAAAAAAATCGCGCGTACGGGCATATTTTGTTTTGGCTTTCGAAGGAAGATCAATTTTTATACACAAATAATTACATAGCAAACAAAACGCCTTAAAAATAAATGAAAAAATATATATTTCGGGATCTGGTGTCCTTAGGCTTCGTAACTAAGAACTAAAAAATCATTGGCACCGAGACAAGGAATACATTAAAAAAAAAAATATGTTCCTTGCCACGGTGCCAATTGTACAACTCCACCAAGCCAAACGTGAAAAAAGGAATTTTTGAGGGGTAAAAAAAATGTGTGCTCATGATATGAGGCTAGGTAAAGCAACTTTGGAAGGTCAGTATTTGCGCTTCGGGTGTTAACATGGGAGAGACTCAATTAGGTCAATAAAGTCCACGTGTTCACCAATTGTTTACGTTGTTGTCACGTAAACTTTGTTAACGTGGTTGAAAAATATCTGCGAAGTCATCATCATCCGCGGATTGACAACCAAAAATTCACTTATCCGCGCTTATACCGGCTAGCAAAGCTTTCAAAACTAGAAATACTTTTCAAAATATATTTCAAAGGAGCAAAAAAATATAAAGAAAAAAAAAAGATATGCGTAACAAAAACATACATTTTTTTTTAATAAAATAACTAACACTGACTAAGTAACAGCATTTTTTTGAAATTTAAAAAAAAAGTTTTAAACCAATTTTTAAAAAATGTTGAAACTATCAAATTTGGAGTTATCAAAACCTGGGTGAGGGAAGGAATTCGAGTTAATAAAAAAAATTGTGCCATGTTTTCAATTTTTATTATTTATTTTTCTTTTTTTATTTCTTTAATTTAATTATTTTTTAAAATGTCACACGTATTTTTAAGCGGGGAGGATTTGTGTCCCCTATGTCATCAAATTGGCTTTCCGTGTGTACAGGGTAGTCCAAATGTCTTTTCACCACCAATCTCTCTTCCAAACTGTAGGAGCTTGTGTCAGCTTTTTGAAAAAGAAAAAGACTTTCGGACCACACCGTATTTTCGGATCTTCAATTAAAGGGGAACTGAAGATTTTCAAAAATTATTAAGGGAAAGGTTTGGAATAAGCTGGGGTGGATATAAAGTTTACAATTTTTAGTTTATAAATGAAGAAATGGTATGTATACATACAGTAAATTATTTAAAGAGAGTTAAATAAAACAATTTTTTTCTTCTATATCAAATTTCTACCTAAACCTTACAAAGCCTTTATTTTTAATGTTCTTCATTTTTTTTCTTTACCAAACATCATGCATTGTTCTATACAACCACTGATTGAGAAAAGAAGTCAAAATGTCATTATGTCCCAAATGTTCTTTTTCAGACTTATTTTTTAAATAATGAGGAAAGTTGATATGTTACACAACTAAAATAATTATTTTGATTTGTTATGATCCAAATGAATTTCTAGAATTGAATGAATTATAATTTGAATGAATTTCTAGAATTGAATGAATTTGAATAAAGTCTTAGAATGTATATCAAATCAGTTTTGCCATTGAACTGAAGTTTTTTCTAGGAAGTTTGCACCAAAAAGTAGGAGGGGATAAAATAAGAGTAGAAGGAGATAATTTTATCAAGAATTAATAAACTGGGATATATAATTATTATAAATCTGAGAGTAGTAAAACTTTTAGCCCATATTATATATGATTTGCTATTATTGTAACCCCTTTGCTACTCCCTTCACCTCTTGTCAAACTTTCTGTCTCCAGACAGAGAGGAACCCAGACGAGGCTATACTGAAGGGCAGAGTCTCATTTGGGGAGGTAAACAATATATATATATATATATATATATAAGCAAATATATGGATATAGATCCGACAGTATGAAGAAAAATATACGGAAAAAACAAACAAAAATCCTAATATGCAATTATGCTGTTTTAATGTTAATATAATGTCAAGGTCAGACGTTTCGGTCTAGTAGATCATCTTCAGGACATATTCATAAAACAAAATTTGCATTAGACTATATTTAATTCAACATGAAAAGACGATGGACATAAGGGTAAGATCATATTGAAATGGAATGTTGATCTTGAAAAATTTCAGTTGTCTGTTTTGATTAGTCTTACTCTTATGTCCATCGTCTTTTCATGTTGAATTGAATATGGTCTAATGTTAATTATGTTTTATGAATATGTCCTGAAGAGGGCCTACTAGACCGAAACGTCCGACGTTGACATTATATTAACATTAAAACAGCATAATTGGTATATTAGGATGGGTTATGTATTGAGTTGCATCCCCTTTTATTTTTGTCTGCCAACTGGATGCTAGTTTGGCTTTCCTATCCACTCTTACTTCTGGCACTCTTGGCCTTTATTGCTTCCAGCTACCACAGTCTTTATCTTCAGGCATTCCTGGCTTGTATTACTTTCGGCTAACACTGACCCTTATCTTCCGGCATTCCTGGCCTTTATAACTTCCAGTTATCCAATGGTCCCTACTTCTGGCACCGCCATCTCAACCTAACTCACCTGGTTAATCAACATTAATGGACCTGCTTATATCAGCCCTGAATTTCCCGCTACACTAGGTCCCTGCTTCCGGCTTTCCTGTCAACCTAACTCACCTGGTTCAAGAAATTGCTGTATGCATACCATCCAGACTCAAACAACCTACTCTGTACACTTCAGTTAAAATACTACAGAAGGTTCACCATTGGACTTAACCAGCAACTACGCAACACCAGCACTGCACATTTAAATTGAACTTTCTTCTCCTTGGCTATATCGTCCAGATTTCAAATAACCTATTAACGTACACTTTGGTTAAAATATTACGGAAGGTTCATTATTAGACTTAGCAAGCAACTACTCAACTCTTTCAACGAACATTTGAACTGAACTTTTGAACTTTGCCTTTTCATGCCATTATCTTACCTGGACTCTACTTTTAACATTTAGTCACAGCTTAATTCTGCCTCCATTACTTGATTCATTGTTTGTTCATGTTCCTTTAAATGAATCACTACTTTTGTTTATGATGTAAATAAATTTTGTATTAATTTTTAGTTTGTCTTTTGTTGTCCTCTTGTTGACCTGTCAGATTATTTTCTTTTTAAAAATGTTAGTCGGCCTCTTGTGACATTTATCCCTTATTTTGGTGCACAGCCACATGCCCCCCTCCAGAGGGTCAACTACACTATTATCCATGGAGCATCAGTAAAGTCAAGGAATTTAATAAAGTCCTACTGTATTAAAGGCAATTACATAACGTTTGTAATATTTGGATTTTTATTTTCTTTTATGGAAATCTATTTAATTTGAACTATGATGAACTACATCTTCTTGACAATTTCACTTCAACTTCTCTTCCAATTTTCGTCCACTTCTCTTCAACTTACTTCCCAACTTCTCTTGAAATTCCTTACAACTTCTCTCCAACTTCATTTCAACTCCCCTTCAAATTCCCATCACCCTTTTTTTCAACTCCCCCCCCCCCCAACTTTTTCTCTGTCTTCTTTTTCACTTCTCTTTGACTTCCTTACAACTTCCCTCCGACTTCTTTTCAGCTTACCTCCCAACTTCCCTTGAAATTCCTTACAACTTCCCTCCAACTTTCTCTTCAACTTCTCTTCCACTTCCCTCTATTCCCCTTTCAAATTCCCTCCAACTTCCTTCCAACTTCAATTTCCCTTCATTTTCCCCTCCTCTTTCTTTCAACTTCACTTCAAACTCTCTTTCACTTCACTTCAACTTCCCCACCACTTCTCCTCCACTTCCTTTCAACTTCTCTTATAAAGAACATGACAAAAATTTATTCAGGAACAATTTAATGATAAAATAGATGTGCTGGGAGTATAATGGTTATCAACACAGAAAATAGAAAAAGCAGAAGACTAAGTTCAAATTCTGACATCTTCTTTTGCGATCACTTTCATACTGTTGGGTTTACCCAGCATATGTAGGAAGCCTTAATAATATCTGCCATAGGTACAGATATTTACCCAAACATTAAAAATAAAAATAATGATGGCTAGGGAGTAGTTGGAAGAACATAAATGAAAATGTTTAATAAATATAGAAG